TAATGAACTAAGGCTTGTGACAAAAGTTAAAAAAAAACAAATAAAAAAAACTTCTTTCAACATGTTAAAAACAAGAAAATAGTCAAAGAAACCAATTGGTCCATTGGTGACAAGTAACAGGGAGAAAACAGAACTACTTAACTCATGTTTTACAACTGTCTTTACACAAAGGAAAAAAACAGCCCAACCTATCAAAAACAGCACTGCAAAGATCGGATTAGGAACACAAGTTAAAATAGGGAAGAAAATGGTAAGTGGCTATCTGTCCACCTTAGATGAGTTCAAATCACCAGGAACCAGATGGATTTCATCCCAAAGGTTCAGAAAGAACTGGCAGACATGACTTCAGAACCACTGAACTATATTTTTCAAAGATCCTGAAGCACCGGGAAACTGCCAGAGGACTGGGAAATGGCTGATGTTATGTCTGGGCGGTGGGTCCCAAGGAGAGACGAGGCTCGAAGTAGTGACAACAGCTCTTTATTAGGAAACCAGATACTGAGACAAGACTCCTAGCCGAGGCAGCTCCTTTTATAGAGCTGGCTGCGGCTAGGCAGCCTATGACATGCATTTGAGCTTGCCGTGCTTGGTTTTACCCAATCGCGGCAGCCGAATAAGAACCAATCAGAACGCTTAGTTTTGTCCAATCACGGCCCGGCTTTTCCGGACCAATAGGAATGCAGGCCTACAAGCCTGCTAGTATGGAACAGCTGATGTAGTTCCCATCTTCAAAAAAAAGGGGGGGGGGGAATAGATCCAGTAAACTACAGACCTATCAGCCTGACCTCAATACCAGAGTTCTGGAAAAGATAATCAAGCAACGAATCAGCGAACACCTGGAAGCAAGAGATGAATAAAATGCAACATTGTTTAAAAAAAAAAGAATGAATGAATGAATGAATGAACAAAAATGCTTAAATAATCATAGATAATTGGAAATGAGCTAAATAGAAATCAGTTAAAATTGAAGGGAAATAAAAGGAAAGAGCTACCCCCTCCCCCACAAAAAAAATCTCCATAGAAGACAATACGTTGATCTACCCCTCAGTTTAGAGAAACTCCGCCATTCCTCAAAAATGCACAATTTACCAAGCATGTACCAAAAACAAAAATAACAAAGACAAAACAATGGACTTAACCACATGGAACAAGAGAGGTTAAACTGAATGCATAATTTCAGATGAGACCTATTACTGATTGCTTTGGATGGCTGGGTCTCAGAGGTGGTATTCAGCAGGTTCTGACCAGTTCTGGAGAACCAGTAGTGGAAATTTTGAGTAGTTTGGAGAACTGGCAAATACCACCTATAACTGGAGATTTTATAGTATCTTTCCCTTGCCATGCCCACCAAGCCATGCCCACCGAACCGGTAGTAAAAAAAAAATTGAATCCCACCACTGCTGGGTCTGATGATAAAGTTCTCCACTCACATGCTTAGAATTCTGTTCAGTGATGAGATTCAATTTTTTTCACCCCCGGTTCTATGAGCGCGGCTTGGTGAGCATGACTCAGGGGTGTGATTCAACCGGTGTAACAATCGGTATGGTGAGCACGCGCTTTGCATGAGCACCAAGGGTTTACTACTGACCTTCTCCTGAAATCCTGCACTCTGCCTGTGTGTTAAACAGCTGATGCAGCAATCTGCTGTGCCACATGAAGCAGCTGAGCTTGAAAACCAGGAAATAAAGGTCAGTATACAGCTGGGGCAGGGAGGGGCAGGCCCAGTAGCTGATAGTCGGAGTGAGCCAGTTCGCTCACAGATGATCCTCGGAACTACCAGTTAGGCCGAACTGGGCCGAACTGGTAGAATGCCACCCCTGATTCTGTTTCAGCCTTAGTGGACAACCAGCTAAATATGAGCCAGCAATGTGCAGCAGCAGCAGCAGTCAGGGGTGGGATTCTACCAGTTCGCACCTGTTCGCTAGAACCGGTTGTTAACATTCTAAGCAGTTCAGAAAACCGGTTGTTAGAAGAAATTACTGGCCTAATCCTGTAAGGAAGGCAGGAAGGAAACATTCTGGTGTTGCTTACAGTAACTGCCTCTCCATTAACCTTATTACATTCTTGGCAGGACTAGACTTCCTGTCTCAGAAACCTCTCTGGAGTTTTTTTCCCCTCCTTTGCTGGTACTTTGCTTGTGTGGCGTGACCATTCAAAGTTACAATAGCGCTGAAAAAAGTGACATGACCATTTTTCACACTTATGACTGTTGCAGCATCCCCACAGTCCTGAGAGGCCAGGCAAAGAGATGCATGCCTCGATGTGAGTGATATTGATTGGCCACACCTAGCCAATAACATGACCACCAAGCCATGTCAACCCACTCACATGACCAGCAAAGCACGCCCACCACCTAAGCCATGCCCACAGAACCGGTTGTTAAAAATTTTGAATCCCACCCCTGGCAGCAGCCCAAAAAGCTAATGCAATCCTAAATTGCATTAACAGAGGGATACATCAAGATCAAGTGAGGTGCTAATACTATTCTATAAAGCCTTAGTAAGACCACACCTAGAGTACTGCATCCAGTTTTGTTCACCACATTATAAAAAAGATGTTGAGACTCTAGAAATAGTGCAGAGAAGAGCAACCAGGATGATTAGGGGACTAGAACATATGAAGAATGGTTGCAGAAATTGGGCTTGGCTAGTCTAGCAAAGAGAAGGACCAGGGGAGACATGATAGCGGTCTTCCAATATTTGAGGGGCTGCCACAGGGAGGAAATGGTCAAGCTATTTTCTAAAGCTCCTGTAGGCCAGACAAGGAATAATGGATGGAAACTGAACAAGGAGAGATTTAACCTGGAAATAAGGAGAAACTTTCTGACAGTGAGAACAATCAACCAATGGAACAGCTTGCTCTCGGAAGTTGTGGGAGCGTCATCACTTGAGACCTTCAAGAAGAGATTGGACTGCCATTTGTCAGAAATGGTGTAGGGTCTCCCGCTTGGGCGGGGGGGTTGGACTAGATGACTTACAAGGTCCCTTCCAACTCTAATTATCTGTTATCTGTTCCATCTTTCTGTAGGTTTTCCTAATAATTGGACCTCTTTTCTTTCCCTAGCCCCAGGATCCAACTTCTCTGAATTCAACTACTTTTGGTTCTGAAAAAGACAAACATTTTTACTATGGGGAAGGATTGAGATTATTTCCCCATATCTGTGTGACAACAATATTGGTCAGTGAAAATGTGTATTCAGATTCAGACATTGGCTGGCTGCTGGCTAACCATCACTAAATTTGGGTGTTGGGCCTGGCCTGTCAATTACAGATACAGTAATTACAGGTTACACTTCTGATGCTCAGCCATAATAAGGCTTTCTTGGTTTGGGGCTAGTAAGATATGTGAATCCAATTATTGTAATTTGTAAACATTATAATTGACTTCAATTTGAGGACTGATAAGAGTCTAACTAGTGTAAAGGAACTGGAGAAATAGAAATCTTGCCTTATCAAGGTCAAGTATGACCTTCCAGAGCTTCACCTAATTTCAGTAAAGAGCTTTCATCTTAATAAAATATAATTTTAAAACAATTGAATGCTTGTGCCTTGTATATATGGAAATACTGTACATAAAATAGAACTCTCTCTTAAGGAATGGAACCTTTTGAAATATTACCATTTTCATGGCAAATCAATAATAAAATACTTTTTTAAAAAAAAGCCATGGATTGAAAATGTATGTACAATAGCGGATTCCAACAATATATTTAGCATATTCCACACCTGCCACAAATATTTTCTGTGCAACATGGCAAATTATATATCTTTATATAAAGTATCTATATCTATATTCATATCAATATCAATGTCATTTTAACAGCAATAAAAAATGAGAGCAACATACTTCTACCTTAACATTTTAATAAATATTAAAATAATTTATATTCCATCCTTACTCCCACAAATAAATTAAAACATTAAAGGTATCAGATTAGAAACCAAAAGAGTGTGAGATCCAGTTCTGCTTTAGGCATGAAACCAGCTGGGTGATTTTGACCTAGTCTCTTTCTATCACTCTCTCTCTGTCAATCAGTCAAGACAAATTCAAAGACACACACACAAAAATGAATATTATAAATGTTATTCCTAAATAGACTGAAAATAGAATATTTATAAATCTCCTTTTAAATTTAAATTCATCTTACTCCGGGCAGGCTATAAACCACTTCCTCATGCGAAGAATTTAATTACACTTTTCAGAGTATTATAATTGTAGCCTTATTCAAACTTCTTTGGCTATCTTAGACATGTTTTTAATTGGTTTAAAATAAAAAAAATAATGGTCCCTTCAGCTCTATCACTGTGCTGCTAATAAGCAAACTCTTTTGTTTAACACTTTTGTCCCATCCAAATCCCCAGATCAGAAATAAACCTTACCTCCAGAAAACAATGCTCATTAGCTAAGACAAAATCTTTCTTGAATGCCAATCCATCCAAAATAGCCCAAAATATCACTAATCAGCCATTCAACTTCAATTAACTGAAGCGGAGTCCAACCAAGTCTGAATTTCATTTGCAGTCTGATGCAAAGTCTTAACTAACACAATGACGTCAGTATTAAGTATTCAGACAAGATAAGCTGATGATAAATCTTTCCAGGCACAAGTTTGCTTGCAGTGTGGAGGACGTTAATGGGTTTTTTGAAAGAAAGAAAGAAAGAAAGAAAGAAAGAAAGAAAGAAAGAAAGAA